TGAGACTGATCAGCCGTTGGAATAAGCCACCGAGAGAAGCAGCGGAAGCTCCAACTCTTGGGTGAGGCTTCACTGCACATGCAGCCTAGGACAGGCAGAATATCCTCATTACAGCAAAATGAGGACTCATTCATACTAGGCCATGCTATAAATTCATCAGCATTGCATTGGGGAAAATATGTCTGTCCTTCCTGGGCTCCTGCACAGAAGTGCTATTTACCTGCCAGGTCAAGAAAGCTAACAACTGGTGTCAAGCCATAGGTCCCACTCTGGGACAGCTCCTAGCCTAGCTGTTGTTAATGCAACTCACATATCATGAGAAGTATAAAAGGAAAGATACGGGGCATGAAACATGGATTACGGCATTTCAGCAATGATATCTTGTGCTGAGAAGACACAAGTGAGGAGATCAGACAATGCACAAATACATGTGGAGAAACAGAGATGCTGACAGATGCAAGTTGTACTATTAGTGGTACAAAACCATCAGCCCAAAGTGGTGGGAATACAAGAGGGTCCAGACCTGGGGTAAACAGAGCAGATTTCCCTAACTACTGCACAAGGAAGACTACCTTCCTGAAACTGTGAAAGAAGTTTGTTTCATCTCTCCAGCACCTGGACACACAGATGAGAGAGGCCAGATCAGTCCACCAGCAGGTTGCTATTGCCATCCCCCAAACTGCTGAGAGTCATTGGCTAGTCAGTTGATGTGGATAAATTAATTGTGTGTGTTGTGGCATGGAAGACTGCCCAGTAATTCTGGCAGTAACTTACCCAGGCTAATGAAAAATAACTGGGTTTCAAGTAAATGGGGCTGTCTAAACTGTGCTGTGCCCACTGCCGTTGTACAACTAGTAACTGATTCGCCTGGCGGTGAACATGAATACGGCAATCAAAAAGGACAGACGCCGCTCACTCATTACGCAAGACTCAGTTGACCCAAGAGGCTCATGACACCAACAGGGAATACGCTGACAGGGTGCATGTGACCAGGGTAGACTTTTGATCTTTTGTCGTCTAATTAGAACAAGCTGCAACTTTATTCTTGCCCAATAATCAGGATATCAATGGGGGTAGCTTGCAGTGACAGCATGCCCTTCATATTTTCTCTGGCTAGCTGTTGTTGTGCAAGATGTATTTTTGTCAAAGCCAAAGGTGTCATGCTCATCCAAGGATAACCTGTGTCACTAAACCAGTTATTGGTTGGACCCAAAGGGCCCTCCCTTCCTAGTGTCCATTGTCCAGTGATTAAGAGCTTTGACTAAATCCTAGATATTTCAGTCTTCCATCTCATAGAACTGGCTGTTTACTAAGTAAACTAAATTCTAAAGCAAAGAATGACATTCTTAATCCTGCTATGTGTTTCTTTCTCAATATGCTATTGTTGATTTTATTTTATGCATTTAGGAACAGGTGTTCTAGTTACACCAGTACCATAATGACATTCATCAGGAGCAAGGCGGAGAAATGAACATGTGCTGAGAAAGTGGGGTATGATTTTGTGAAGAATAACTTGGACTTGGGGGCTTTCATCCCCAAAGCAGATCTAATTGAGTCTTCTAGCCACCACATTCAAAGCCCTGCATAAATCTGCCCTACCATATTTGTGCTGTCTTGAAATGCTTTACATGTTGTCCCCTGACTATTCCCTCGGCACTGCCCAGCCTTGCCAATGCTTTTGGCAGCTTTCCACACAAGCATCTCTGGGCTTTCTTCCACAACCTCCTTTGCCCGGGATGACTCCTACCAACCCAACAGCAAAGTCCCTATTCTGCCCACACCCATGTAGGCTCCTTTTACAAACCACTTCTCTTGAGCTGCCCACAGTGAATCAAGATGACAGCCATAATCAGTTTGTGAGGTCCTGAGAACAGAGATTGACTTCCCCTGGAGTTTGGAAAGCTTCCAGCATACTGGGACTGATATTTTAATTAAAGTAATACTAATATCAGTAACATTTTATGTAAGCCTAGGGACGGGAGGCTGTGTTTCAAAGCGAAAGAGCAGCCACTCCAGATTGGGGAAGTTGGCTTCAAGCTTCTGGTGATCCCTTGAGGCAGAAGTTCAATTTCTCATCGGTCCCTGGCCCAGCACAAAAAAATAAATAAAAAAGGAGGAAGTCAGTAATTCTTGTTAAGTGGTTTGTGATCCCCGCAGTTAACTTAATTTAAATAGCAGCCTTAGCCCTGGAAACAGGATTCCACACGCATGCACAAACACACACACACACACAGAAGCAGATTGCACCCGCTTACTTTTGGCCAAGGTTTAAAGATGTTGGGCATCTTTTTTGTGTTGCTCTTCTTTTGCAATGCAACTCTGAGCATAAAAATCTGCTCCTTCAATGTGAGGACTTTTGGAGAAGCAAAAAGAGCCATACCTGAAGTCGTAGATGTCATTGTAAAGGTATGTTCACTGCTCCTGGATTCAGTAAACATTGAACTCTTTGAGGACTTTTATCTAATTCATCTTGAGGCTTATTTTATTTCTGCATGCTTGAATTGCAAGATAATAGATGCCCAAGCGTTACAAAACATTTTGTACAGCTAGTAGTAAAATATATATCTGTAGACCAAAAATGTCTGGTTGGCAAGTTTTAGTTGCGAGCTAATCTAAATATAAAAATTCTAGTTTCCTTTAGAAATTTAGAATTATGAGGAAAGAGTCTGACTGTACAATGTGCAAGAAAAATAGTTTTGCTTTGGTTTTTTACTTAGAAAGCTTTCATTTTGTTTGATCATTAGTCTTATTTCTTTAATGGTAAATCTGAAGTGCCTCTGTCTCATTAAGAAAAATCATCATTGCATGATACTTCTGTTAGCTGGACAGTATAACCTATTTATTAAACCTTCTTCATAAATGATCAGTACAAGAGCACCGATTTATAAGTCAAGACCCTGATTTCTAACCTTTCTCAAAGGAAGTTGCATTACCACTTTTTCAAAGCATTTCTTGAAAGAGGCCATCTAACAATGTTTTTAGAAGGGTACAGAATAATCCTGCAGCTGTCAATTTGATTAAAATTATGGACCTGTTACTTCAAAGATTCTAACATCTAAAGATGTTACAGTGGCTGAATGTGTATTTGTAGTAGCATGAATGTACACATTTATTCTTATCAGCAACAATATAATTTAAAAGTATTTAATATATACATTAAAGCCTTCATGACCAGAATTGGGGAGACATTACTCACAATTTTTTGTAAGTGGATGCGTCTCATGTTATCTTATCAGGGTTAGCACCTCTGCAAGTAAAAGGTTCTTATTCATAATGTTCTCTAATTGTGCACCGGACACATCTGATGAAGGGTTACAATTATGAATGGTAGCTTTATACCCACTGCACAACTTGCTCATTCAAGAAATCCACATGGGACTGTTTTAGATGAGTACACATTTAGAGTATCAGGCCATTTATTAGTGTTCTTCTCTCTTCAAATAGTACTTGAAATGGAGACACTTTTTCTTGAAAACCAGTTTGAAGTCTGTGTTTCCACTTTGTCCTGTGCCCATTGCTTCCATTAAACCAAAAGTAATTTACACTGAACTTACTTTAGTTGTTGCTATTTTGAGTTCTCCTGAAATTGTATCATTTCCAGTTATCCTGGTATAGCATTATACCTCATTCAGGTTTCCTGCTGAGGGCAACACATCCCTTTCCATATGTAAAATATCTACTGAAAATATGAAGAATAAATTGGTTTTTGATGGTCCTGCAACACACAGCAGCCCTAATGGTGCCTGAACTGGACAGCTAGGGATTTCCCTAGTGCATGGGAAACCCCAAATAGTATGGCATCCAGACCGTGCAGTCTTTATCCAGTTCTATAGCTGTAGAGGACATGCTGGGAGCATCTGTAGGTGGGAAGGCTATCACTCTGATCATCTTATGTAGGGGTTACAAGATGAAGGCAGGGTAGATATGCACCTTTATAAACTAACTATGCAGTGAAAGGACAACATACAGTATAAGGTGGAGTGAGTGATGATCAGTGCATAGGAAAGCAGAAGGAAGAGGTACAGGGAGAAAGGGGTAGGTACAAGCTGACATAAGTTATAACTGCCTTGCAGCTCCTCTACCTGATTGTGGGGGGAGGGAGGTAGTCCTTATATTTAAGCCACTTTGAAAAAAGTCAAGAACCATTGAAATGAGCCTTTCCATACCTCTAGGCACACTGTTGCACTTGATTGTTCAGCAATGGCATGTGCTATATGGTCCATAAGTCCAGCTTTGGGTCTAGCATATTTACATTTAAAATATATAACGGCATAGTCACATATGATTAGTCTCACACACATGATAATCACATGTGAGGGGAGAAAAAATTCTAGAAAAGTCCCTGGAAAATCTCTTCACGTGCCTGACACAGCTGTCCACCCAAAAAATAGATACTATGTTTACATTAACTAGTGATTGCATCCAGAGTTTACTAGGCGCTTGTCCAAACCAAGACGAGTCAGTGCCTGTTCCAAACAGCTTTTATTCCAAGGGTCTGCTCTTGCAGACACACATATGTTTAACTTTTTCCATGCCTTCAGTCCCAACAGGCCAGTGATGTTTCTCAGGAGCTCAGTCCAGCTTTCTCTGAAGTCAGTGGAAAGACTCCTATTGACTGCAGCAGAAACTAGTGCTGATGCATTAAGGCTCCTATTTGTGACAACACTGGACACTGCTGCTCCCAAAACCTAAGTGTGTACTCTGGATTCCTTTAAGAGTCAACTGGACGTTTATCTTTCTGTGATCCTGTGACCCCAGCTGACTTCCTTCCTTCCTCAATGGTCTTCCTAGGTCCATTCCCGCCCTAATGTCTATGAAATCTATTAAATCTATGTGGCCACAAAGGCAGAATTCAGGAAGACTTATGCATCCCAGATCCCCATGACTTGGATAGAAATACCTAGTGCATCCCACAGGGATTCACACCAGCTAATGGGCTATGCAGGAAGAGGCCAGCCACCAGGAAATGTGGAAGAGGGATGTGTGTCCAGGACTCAGTCCTGTTCTGGGACTAGGTAGCACTTCTGTAGTTCCCTGCAGCCTTGACCTGTGTGCTGCTGACAGGCTGCGGGTATAACAAACACCCTCATAGGCAGGGGCACATCAATTCCAAATTGAGAATAAGGGAAATGATGTGTTGTTTGCAAGCCACTGTGACCATGAGTGTGGCTGAGACTTAGCTGTGAGCCCTTATGTTTGTATGATCTCTTTTGTTGTTGAAAGTTACTCACTGAGAAGAAATGTCATGTATTTTGTTCATGCTAATGGCAGTTATACATTTTTTTAATTCTCTCATTTGTTTTTAAATTCCCTCAGTTTGAAATGACATGGGAGAGAGGGTTTTATACCCCCAAATAAGTCAGTTGCCTATATAGGAAAACATCAAAACAAAAGAGCCCAGACAGGCACTCAGGCAGCACGATTCCCTTCCAACACCAAGGCAGTAAAATACCTTATTTGTTCATACATTACAATGAATAATGGATCACTTTTAGAAACTGCCAAAAATGTTAGCCAGAATTATGCTTTTATCAGGCGTCCTTGCTGGATACCTGACAGCAGCCTTCCATAGTTAGCTAAACCAAAGTTACCTGTAGAAAAGGCCAACCAATGACATCCTAAGAGAGTCAGAGCACAGAAGCCAACAAGAGACAGCAACATTTGCTGGAAGAAAACAAACCATATATTTATAGACAAGTCTACAGCAGGGGTGAGGGCAAAGGAACCAATGATATTCTGGTAAGCATTGCAGTGAAAGAGTCAAGATGTGGATATAGCCATTCTCAAAATGCAGGTAGGGAAATGGGCCAACAAGGTCCTTTACGCACTCACGGATCCCATTATTAAATGCAAAAATGACTTTAGCTTACTGCACGTGTGCCCCCATGGACCTCAGTCAGAATGGTGGATATTATGGGGATGTGCAGTAGTTAAATTGTCCCAGTACCTAGCTAGATACTTTCAAGTGTGGACATGAGAAGGAACATCTAAGCACAGATATGGTTGGAGCTTCATAAGCACAAACTAGGAACTAGAGTGTATAACCATCCTTTTGAATCCTAGCCCTAGCAAGCAAAGTTATTTGGTAAGGTGCTCCTGGGCCTAAAGGAGAGCGGACAAGCTAAAGCCACAAGACGGTGAAGACAGACAAAAATAGCATCGGCTGATGTGCAGAAGCACCAGCTAGGGAAAACAAACAGTTCTCTCACCAGTGGCAGAGTTTGTTCACATCCTCAAGGATTTTCTGAATGCTTCATAAAAGTTTTCAAATAAGAATGAGCTACATGGGGCAACCACCCAGCTTGGAAAGAAAGGACACTCCCTTCACCTTCTGTAGCTAACACTACAGTCATGTTCTCTCTCCATCTACATCCCCATCCCAATCACCTGTAAGATAGTCTCACAAAGGGCATTTCCATCTTGTCATGACCATTGGTTTTCAGTGCTTGCTTTGTTCTCTCTCTTCTTTTCTTTCTTGTCTCTTTTTAAATTTCCAGTCGTTCCATGCACCCTTAATGCAATCCTAACCCTTTGCCCTTTCCTATTGCAGGTTATTTCTCGCTGTGACATCATGCTAGTGATGGAAATAAAGGACACCCAAAACAAAACATGCCCGTTTTTAATGGAGAAGCTTAACAGGTAAGGTGAACTACTCAAGTACACTGAAACACATAAGCAAGACCATAAAGTCATGAGAAGTGGCAGGAAAACAGAGACAAATAGGAATTGCCATACTGGGTCACAGAACCATGCTTCATATAGCATAGTACCCTTGAAGGAAGTTGGTACCAGCTGTTTCAGGGAAAGGTGTGAGAAGCCTACAGCAGGCAATAATCTGGCCCCAAAGAATTTCCACCAAAACTAATCCCTAGAAATCAGAGATTAAAGCCTTAATGAGGTTTTAATCTCACTTCCTAAATTTAGCCAGTTAGCCTTGGCTATTATACCTCTGCATGTTCCCATTGTTTACATAAAAAAATCCAATCCTTCTTCGACTCATGCTGTTTTTGGCCTCAGTTACATCCAGTGGCAATGAGCTCCACAATCTAATTATACAGCCTGCAAAAAAATATTTCTGTTCATCAATTTTGAACTTTTCCACCTTAAACATCAAAACTATGAGGC